TGAGGCACCAGCACAGTGCCTGGCATGTGATTTGTACCTAACAAATCACCACCTGCCATCACACCTCTTCTCTCCACTCCAGACCCCACCTCAGAGAGATATTTTTTCTAAGAAATCCCTTGTATAACACTCACACTTAGAACTTTCCAGATGTGATGAGCAATGACAAGTCTCTGCTGAAGCTCTGGATGAGTGCTTGCCTCTTTTCATCTCAAAGGTGAATTTTCAAATGAAAGAGAATTTTCAAATGAAAGAGTAAGTCAACTATTTTTGACATTGTGCCAAGGGAAGCTGCTTGGTCAAGTTTAAGTGTGAAAGGATAGTTTCCCAAATGAGAGGAATTTAGAAGTTACAGAAGATGATTGAATAGTCACATCCCTATTTAGCTATACAGTATTCAAAGCTTAAAAAAATTAATCTACATTTTTATAAGAATTTTTTAAGGACAGGAGGTGTCGGATGTTCTTAGCCTAGAATGTCAAAGATTGAACAAATTTCAAAATAAGTAATAAAACAGTCATAAAATAGTATATACAGCCATAAAATATATTTTTTGATACTTACATCCACGATTATCTTTATTCATTGCTATAAGTTGTGCCATGAAAGGAATGTTCAAAACTCAGCTCCTGAATTACTCCCTCTGGGAAGATTTCTTGTGCCACCTCCTTCAAGGCCATGCACTTGGCTTTGGCTTCCTGCCCCTGCCCCCTTGGTGCCTCAGCAGTATCCCTTCCCTTTCATAGCACTCTTCACACTATGCTCAGATTGTTCTTTCACTTCCCTGCATCCCTCACTAGACTATAAACTAGTGAGATAACATTCTATTGGTTTTAATATCCCCATAGCCTAGCATACAGTAGGCACTCAATAAATACTGGTTGAATGAATTCATTGTAAAATAACAATAAAAGAGACAGTGGACATTTTGGAGATTCTTCAAAATTCTAACTTTAACATGTTTTTCATTTCTTCTTCATCAATTTTTTTTTTTTTTTTTTTTTTTTTTTTTTGCAGTACGCGGGCCTCTCACTGTGTGGCCTCTCCCGTTGCGGAGCACAGGCTCCGGACGCGCAGGCTCAGCGGCCATGGCTCATGCACCCAGCCGCTCCGCGGCACGTGCCATCCTCCTGGACCGGGGCACGATCCCGTGTCCCCTGCATCGGCAGGCGGACTCTCAACCACTGCACCACTAGGGAAGCCCTTCATCAATTTTATGATGTGAAACAAAGCATCGAAACATACTCTTTCCTTTCCCTTACCCTAAAGAATGAATTTTAGGGAGTTCACTTTTTCTCAGAAGCACTTTGTTCAGGATTGTGCACACAGAAGGTATCCATTGAATGTCTGCTGAGTAAAATGCGGCAATGATGGATACATCTGTGATCGTTGGGTCTGATTTTCCTGTAGTCACCATCTTACCATGGCCAAACCATACTGCAGGGTTTTTTTTTGACACTGACGACCCAAACACTCCCTGTAAAAGTCTGTCATTATTTATACTGCTCACATATCAGTTTATGTCTGTGGGCAGAATAAATCTGAAGTATATAACAAATGCAACACATCTTCACATCATCCAAGCCTTACGAGCACGGGTTAACATGCTTGCAGCAGGGTCAAGTTCATGTGACAGGCTTCTCATGCCAAGAGCCTCCATTTATGGTATGAATTCAAGTACCACGGTCATGTGGCTTATGACCTGTGTTCATTCTGGTTTTTAAAGGAATGGATCTGAAGAATAAAAAAAATACTTACACGGTTGGTTGCATTGTTTCTCTGATTTTTCTATATGCTAGTAAGGGTGCAGATCCTACTCTCTGTATAATTAAAGAAACAAACAAAGAAAGCTGCAGGCTTCCACCAGAGGGTGACTGCTTGGGGGTGGGTGTTGGAGTGAGGGTACAAGATTAGAGCACATGAAAAAAACATCAAATTTGGCCACTGAAGTTCCATCCCTCTTTTCACTATGAAATACCTGCTGGCTCAGAGCCAACCATGTAGAAATGGTTTCATCTTCAAGCCTGAGAACGAGCAAATCATCAACAGAATTCATTTACATGTAGGCAACAGCCCTGATTTTGTGTGTGTCTGTGTGTGATCAGCATATTAATTTATTTTCAGAATGAAAAAGAATAAGAATCAATAAATAATACAGAACTCAAAATATCTAGAAGGTACAAAGCAGAGAAGGGACTCTTGTAATTGAGGGAGAAGGGTGACATTTAAATGTATTATTTAAAAAATTCTGTAATAAACAGTTGGAACCATTTTCATTCAGTATGACATCTATGAAATGAAAGGTCTTTTAGTTTTTTTCAGTAGAAAAGAAACCAAAGGGAAAAAATTCTGAGGTCCTGTCAGGAAGTCACAGGACGAAGCCACCTCTGTAGCAAAGGGTGGCTGGGTGTTTTCACAAGTGATTTCACTTGTGACACTGTCCTTATGAATTTTCAGCTTCAGTGAAAAAAAGTCACTGAGTTGTGTTTCAGGTTTAAGACACCCGTCAGAACCTTATTTCCTTTGGCAACTCCCAGATCAATGGAATTACATGTTTTTTTTTTTTCTTCACACACGAACCAATGTGTGTGTACTCGGTAAGCCCAAGGAAAAATCTTTCTCTTCTGAGAAACTCAAGGCATAAGGTAAAGACAGCCATATGAAAATGCTTCACAAACATCTCACATATGAATTAACACCAAATAAATATGACCAAATAAATGTAAACACAGTAATAATGAGGCCAGTAACAAAATATTTGCTGTGTACTGCTCTGAAACCCCAAATCACATTAAAACTCATTAGCAGATAGTTTGCAAAGGAGCACAGAAGTCACAGAGCTAGAACTCTTTGGAGATCATCTCGTACTTCGACAACTCTATCGTTTTATAGATGAAAAAAATGAGACAGATTAAACGTCATATCTAAAGAAATCAAGGGTAGTGGCTGAGTTGACAGTAAAACTAAGTCTCTTGATTCCAGATGAGTTCACATTTAACTTCAATTTCAATCACGTTTTAATGGAGTAGGCAGCAGACGGACCCTGAGAAAGTCATATCACATCAGATCATGGTTTCACATCACTCTAAGAGCAAGCTGACATTTGAGACGCATGGAGTAAGCAGTACATTGCCAGATTCATTTGGGCATGATAATGTAGAACAGAAACCCATCACCATGTGAAGAATCTATGGAGTGCAATGGTTTGTTTTCAGTTCATGCAAATACATGATATTTTCAGGTTATATTAAAGATCCAGCTTTAGCACTACAAATAAGGGAGTGGTGTGCATACCCTGGGTAGAATTCTAGTCACAGGAACACTAAAAATAACAAGTTATTTAGTAATTATGAGCTTCCCTGCTTTACAGGAGAAATGTGTAGAAGAGTGAATGAAATCAGCAAAGGTTTCAACTCACCCAACCTAAGGCCTGGCAACCCTAGGCTGTGGCCATCTGCAGGCCGCTTTAATGCACTATAAGACCTTGTGGGTGGACAGGTGGGGATGCTGATGAGGTTTTCATACCCTTTCAGTCTCAGAGTCAACATCTGACATCAAGACAACCCTCACTAGATGTTTTTCTGTATCCTAAGATACAGAATTCTGAAGAGTTTTAAAAATCACAGTCATCTCCTCTGAAAAGGGGATCAGAATGAAAGCTGAGGTGCCGAGATATATAGGAAAAACACTTGTATCTGCGTGGAGACTGGCGTGAATCTAATTTTGTAAAAAAATACACAGCTTTTCTCAATCAGTTCTCATATTTCTTATCCTTGGCATTATTTTGCCCCTTGTGATATTGACATGGAAACACCAAAAATGAGCTCTAAGACACATATCTTATTTGTAAATGTCATCTGGCAATCACAATAGTGACATATTTTATTTTACCTAAAAGCCTTTTCTTCCAGCAAAAAATTTTTATGATATTTTCAAAGTACCAGCAGCTAACATTATTAATAAACTCTTGCATCTGTCATCAATTTCATTCATTTCTGCTCTTGCTTTGATTATTTATTTCTTTGGATATAAGGAATATCATTAGGGTTTATTTTACAAGTTGATCACTGAATAATGGATATGAAAAAAAGCCTCAGTACCGGCTCAGCGCATATTTCAAAGATTATACTTTATATAAACAAGAGGCTTATAGAAAGAAAGAACACTGTGCAAAGGCATTTGATTAACAGATGTATTCTTTTGGAACACCAAAATCCCAATCTTTTAAATGAATAAATATATCTTTTGTTTTTGTTTTTGAACATATCTAAAATAACCGCTTATCTCTCTTTAAAAAGACCTATACCCCCTAGGCAAGAATATCTTTGTTTAAACAGTTTCTTTCTTCCTTTTTTTTTTTTTTTAAAAAAGTATTTAGCACATAGGTTACATTAAATTTGTCCTTAAAGACAGAGCCAAGCCAAGAATGTTTTAGCAAAACCCTGTGAGTTAATACACTGCCTCCAGGGCTGTGATATTTCTTAATAATTAACGGCTTCTAAAACAGCCTGGTCATCATTACATGATTAATAGGAGGGGGTACAGGTACCTGTTTTGGAAAAAAGCCTTCAAATCCTAGACGAAAAAGTAACATAAATTTTACAAAAGCACTGCTTAGAGAATGACAAAGATAGTTTGTTTGCTTTACAATGCAGGTTTGTAGGGTCTTTATTGTTGTTTTAACTCTTATTATCACACACAAGCTTTTCTATGTTGATCAATTACAGCAAGGGTCTCTGGAAAATAGGACAGAGTGGAAGATATTCCATCCTCAAACCTACCACTAAGATGGAAATTTATTTTTTAATGAAAGTGAGATTATTTTAACTGTGCGGGGTGTGTAAACATTTAGACACGCAAGTGTTTCTAAACTAATTTTTGAGATAAATAGGAAATCCTAGGCAGAGTGCACTCCTGGCTGAATCCCATTCTAGGGAGACTGAGTGTGGTGTCTCTTCAGGGCAGGGAGGATGAAGCGTGGCTGAGAAGCAGGGGCTCACCTGTATTCTCCAAAAGTGCCATCATCTTCCTTCATAGGTTGGATTTCAGGATCCGCATGGGCATCTTCCTTTTCTTTAACTAAAAAAAATTCCAAAATGACATTATTATCTATTGATCCTGTGTTTCCTTATTCAACGTTTTTAGGAGTGCACTCTATGAGATATACAGCAGTAGGAGATAATTCTATACACCATAGAGTTATACAACCAGATGTATCATGTGGCTATTTATTTACTTGCCATGTGGCTTGCAGATCTTAGTTCCCTGACCAGGGATTGAACCCGGGCCACGGCAGCGAAAGCCCGGAATCCTAACCACTAAGCAACCAGGGAACCCCCTATGCATATATTTTGATGTTCTAGTCTCTTGGAGATAAATTCGTAGAATGAACATCTAATTAACATACAAAGTTGACTTCATATAAAAAGCATTTTGGGGGCTTCCCTGGTGACGCAGTGGTTGAGAGTCCGCCTGCCGATGCAGGGGACACGGGTTCGTGCCCTGGTCCGAGAAGATCCTACATGCCGCGGAGCGGCTGTGCCCATGAGCCATGGCCGCTGAGCCTGCACGTCCGGAGCCTGTGCTCCGCAACGGGAGAGGCCATAACAGTGAGAGGCCCGCGAACCGCAGAAAAAAAAAAAAAAGCATTTTGGCACAAGTCTCTTACTCACCTGCTAAAGGAATAAGTCTGAAGCTTCTAAGATTTCCCTCTATTTTACCAATCTATCTATTAACTATTCATGGTTACAAATTGTTTTTGTAAATCTAATTTTTTGCAGATATTTCTCTGCCACTGGAGGGGAAATGGCCAGGTAAAGAAAATAGAAACTCACTGGATCCACTAAATTGTACAAAACACTAACCATATAGGGAAGGCAACAGTACACATCATGATATCAAGATCCAGTTCATGCATCACTTCCTCTGGAAAACTTGAGGTACCTTCTCCCTCTGCCTGTTGGCTTTAGGTGCTAATTCAGCACCTATGACTCATGTAAAGCCTAAGGAAGCAGAGTCACTAAGACCTTCAGAGGACTGATTCATCTGCTCCCCCAAGTGTCTTCTGATCCTTGGCAATGTTGAGTCTTCCATTACATACAAAGGGATCAAAAATTGTTTGAACAGAAAGTCCAAATGTATGGCTCTTGGGAGGATACACTTATTGCAATCTCTGTGATTACTCTCATGATTTCTTTTTAGTTTAATGGATCATCATGCAGCATTATACAGCAATTTCAATCTTTCTTTCTTACCTGGATATTTACCACCTTTGTTTCTTCTGATGAAGCAAACAATCAGCAAAATTAAGATCAGGAGAGCGACAGCACACATTAGACCAATGAACCAGCCCTGAGTTGCTATATCCACCTGCCGGCTTGCCATTGCTGGAAAACAAATCAACGGCGTCAGTGTGAATGGGTCAAGGGGGCGGTGACAACTGTTGTAGTCACTTGTAGTAAAAAAAAAACTGCCATAGTACATAAGCTTTTCTATATTTTACATGTGGCCCCCCCTTGGAATCTGTCAGTTATCAGTCCGGTGTTACATAAATACTTAACTCTGAAAAATCTTCAATAATTAAAACAATTCAAATAGAGAAATCCGACTGCTAACACCATTCAATGCTAACAAACCCTGCTGAGCATTGTGTTCATAGTTATTTTCACTACATATTTTCAACAGAAACACAGTCCCAAACCAATTAAAATTTTTACTGTTTATGGGATAAATTGTACATTAAGTACAATGATTAAGAATAGAAAACCATTTTAAACAGAACAGAATGTATACATCTAATTGAGTATTTTTCTTTCAAAGGAACCACTTTGGGAGGCTAAAATATCATTGCAATGATGTTGCAATTTTTCCAAATGTGTTGGAAACCTTCTGTTTAAAAATGAAACTTTCCACACATGAAACCTGTCCACATAAGATAACCAACCTTATTATTTTCTATAACACCTCGACTTGCACCCAAAATATTACTTAGATTTGTTTTTCATCTCGTTTGTTATTCATCTCATTTATAAGAGTTGGTTCTGAAAGATCTGGGGAAATTTCTGAAAAATCCTATTTACCCTCAAAGGATCAGTAAGCAATATTCAATATCATTCAGAATCCAATCAAAAGACTCTGAGATATATCTTGATCAGTGGTGTCATTATCGGAATAAGTGGCCAGTTTAGAAAGAAAATACTCATTCACATGTATACATGTACTTTAAGTCTTCCTCTATTCTGTATTGAGTCAAATAATGTGAAGCCCCTTATTCAACCAATCATAGTATGCAAATCTCCTACGAAAAACACAGAATAATGAGCATTACCAGTATTATTCAAAAGTGTCAATCAAATGGGACAAAGTGCAGCATCAATGGCTATTCAGACAAGCCCATGAGAATTTGTTGAAAACACTGGTATGAATCTTTTTTAAAAAGGTCTTGATTTTTTTCTCTTTTGACCATAATCAAGGTAAAAGGTTTTCTTTTTTTTTTAATTCAGAAGAATGCCTATATCATTCTTTTTTGATTCAATTTCTTCTGAATCCATTTAACATGGTTGGGTTAGATGTATGTGATTGCTGGATGCAGAAAGAAGCATGGCGACACCTATCCCAGGTTCTGCTCTATGCTGCAAAAATAGCACCTCATTGCCTTTTTTCTCCACCCAAAGGATAGGGAGAAAAATGGAATGCTTAAAATCAAGTGTGAAGAGAAATGTGAAAAATATGTGGATGTGTGTTGAAGAAATAAAATGAGAAGTGGAAATACATTCTCTGGAATATAAATCAAATTGCCAGTAGCCTTTCCCCAATAGCCCCTTGTGTCTCATTGGTTATCGGGGTTTTGAGTTGTATCATCATTGGATACAACTGAAACATGAGGATGGGCAGGGCTCCCCTACCATACACGTACCATAACCATCATCGGGATGAAGATGAAAACAATGATAACGGGCGCTAGCATTTTGAAACTTATTCTATACTAGGCACTGTGATGAGGGCAAAATCTCATTCAGTCTTCACAAAAATCCTGTGAGGTAGGCATGAGGAATAAACCCATGCTCAGAACGGGTAAAGACCTTGCCTGAGAGCTGGAGCTTCACCCAAGACTGCGGACTCCAAAGAACATGGTACCAGCCATCATGTGCTACTGCTATAATGCACTGATGTCCAGGCATCAACTCTGCAGAAGTCTTTACAGAGAATAAAATGTTGTAGGGACTTTCTACCTTTGAAATATTTTAAAAGTCCATCAGTACATACTCTTGGGGAACACAGTTCTGTCAATTCACACATGGTCTCTGACAGGTACATTTTCTTTGAAACTGAACCAAAAATCAACTGGTGTAAGTCTATGGAGCATTTGATTGAAGTTACAGAGTCCTTGTTTTTAATAAGCTTAATGATTTACAGCCCTTTAATAAACAGTATCTACATTTACATTTTTCATCTAATTGAATGCAACTGATAAGGGAAAATGGCAATAAGATCCTCAAGTATCAGCATAGACACTGTCTTAATAGAGATGGTAACTGCCAAAATTGAACTGCCGGCTGGCGGTTTGCAGCTATGCAACTATGCACAAAGTAGAAATGTTTCTTGACAGTTGATAAGGGAACATCCAAGTTGACTTTGAATTTTCTCCCCTATGTCTAAAGAAAAAAGTTTCAAATATGTCACTATACCATTTATTTAAGACTGGGCGGCCACAGTATGTTAAGAGGTGCACGTATACGCATGCTCACACACGTATACATACACACACACAAACGCACCAGAAGTTGATATAAAACAAAAATTATGTAAGTGAAAATAGCTTCTATTGATTTCCCATCCATATAAAAAGGGATCTGAAGCCCAGAATGACTATAAGAGGCTCCAAGTGTTCCCAGGACATTCCAAAATCATCTTAACTACAGATGCATATACAAACCCAAGTCATGGGCACCACTGTGCATCTCTCTCTCTCTCTCTCTCTCTCTCTCTCACACACACACACACACACACACACACACACACACACACACATAATGAAGCCTGTGGGTGGGTAATATAGTAGGATTGGGTAGGAAACTGACAGAGGACAGTCCCTTTATTAAAAACTTTTACAGGGCTTTCCTGGTGGCGCAGTGGTTGAGAGTCTGCCTGCCGATGCAGGGGACTCGGGTTCGTGCCCCGGTCCGAGAAGATCCCACGTGCCGCAGAGCGGCTGTGCCCGTAAGCCATGGCCGCTGAGCCTGCGCGTCCGGAGCCTGTGCTCCGCAACGGGAGAGGCCACTGGCAACAGTGAGAGGCCCGCGTACCGCAAAAAAACAAAACAACAACAACAACAAAAAACTTTTACAGTAAAATTATATTCATGTATTACTTGAATAAGCCATAGAGCAACACATTAAACAAATAGACAAATATAAAGAACCCGAAAACAGAAAAGAAGCCAGGGGCATGAAATTGATTTTGTTTCCTAGAAGTTAGTCTTAACAACAATCTTGTCCATCACATTGCTTGTTGTCTCATGTTTAACCTGTGCTGTGTGGAAGTAGGTCTCTGAGGAAAACGTCCTTGAGTACTTAGAATAAGAGAACACAGAAGACAACAGACTCACAGACTTAGAAAACAAAGTTAAGGTCACCAAAGGGGAAAGGTGGGGAGAGGGATAAACTGGGAGGTTGGGATGGACATATACCCACTGCTGTATTTAATAGATGACCATCAAGGGCCTACTGTACAGCACAGGGAACTCTGCTCAATATTCTGGGATAACCTAAATGGGAAAAGAATCTAAAAAAGAATGAATATATGTAAAACTGAATCACTTTGCTGTACACCTGAAACTAACACAACATTGTTAAACAACTATACTCCAATATAAAATAAAAACTAAAAAAAAATTTTAAAACATGGGAGAAAAAGAGTGAGATAAATGGCTATTTTTGAAGAATGCATTATGTATAAAAGTGTCCTGTTAAAATAGTTAGAAATGTTTAGAAAGGGAAAACAATGACCTTGGCCAAAGTTTGGAGGCAGTTGACCAAAAAAAACACAATCCACTAAAAAAAACACCCCAACTGTTGGGCCCAGTGAAAGCAAATCTGCTCTAAATCTTTTGTGAAAGGAGAGAAGAGACACAATGATTGAGGGAAGGAGGGGAGAAAGCAAGAAGAGGAGGTGGGGTCTTAACAAAAGTGTGGGTGAGAAGCATGACACCAGGACACTGCCTCTAGTCTCCTTTGATTTGTTTTCCAGTGTGTGCCATAGGAAAAGAAATTAAGAAATAGACCTTAAAAATCCAGACTAGCAAAGGCAGAGACGGTGTCATGCTAAGAAGATTCATAAAACAAGCACAGATGAAAGTCTAGAGTAGCTTCCTGAAATATGCAGAACTCAGAGAGAGAAGGAGCTCATTCACGCAAAGAGTTAAAAAATCAGCCAGGATGGTATGTTTCCACGCCAAGTACTGGCATTCACACCTCAAAACCTAGCTGGAGGAGCGAAAAGCAAGAGCAGCAGAAGACAATACTGTCGCCCTGGAGTTCATTCTTACAGGACAGACATAGAAACCGGAAGCACAAGGAAGTTGGATTAACAGTATTTGCTCCTAGAGGTAATATGTTAACTTAAGTCACTAGGGATTAATGGATATTTATCCTCTCACGTCAAAGGTGACAAGAAGTGGTTGTGGCCTTGTCCTATTTCTCCTTCGCTGGCACACAAGAATGGCCCACCCATGATCAGCTGCAGCTGTTACTTTAGGTATAGTAACACCGAAGACAAAATGTTTTTCTAAAGGGTTTGCCCTCTGTCCTAGAAGAGGACCAAAAAAATATGCCACAACTTGATTTTGTGGGTGGAATCCAATTCTAGCTAGATCTGCAAGGTGGGGAGTACACTGGGGCCATGAAGTGTGCTGGAAAGATGCCCCAAGGGCTGAACGGAGTGGTCATTTTTGAGACAACCTGTTCCCCTTGGGATGTGGGCCTCTGTGGCCCTGAACAGGGGTTGTAGTGAGAGCCTCTCCTTAGTGTTGAAAGGCTGAGCTCTCTGCGTTCTAGCTGGGCGACAGGGTAGGCCCTCTCCCTCTCATTACTGGTCGTTGACGTGAGATGTGAGTGGGTAGCAATATTGTCTCCTTCACAGGATTGTTGTAAGGACCGAATGAGAAAAGCCAAGAAAACCATTCACCTAGTACAGATTAGCTCTGAATAAATGCTAGGGCTGTTACTATTATTAGCATCCTAGCTGTAAATATGGGCAGAATATCTACTTGAGTTTTTAGTATTTTGAAATTAAAATCTCTCGATAATAACAAATACCTCATCACACCAGCTGTGAATGGATATTCCTCTTTTAAGTTTAAAACAGTATTTTCCTAGAACTCTGTACG